TCTATTTTATGATATTAATATACACGTGTGGCCCTATTGGGCCATACGATGCACCTCTTGTTTATATGGGTGGATCCACCCAATCCCATTCATATATATGTCATTGTACCTCACTTCACATCACCACTCTCCTGCCTACATATCCAATTTACTGACTTGTAAATCCATCCTTCTGAAGATGCATTATTAAATACGAAAGAACTTAGGGAAATTCCTGTTTCGCTCCTTCCTTCGTGGTCTGACAGTCATATTATATATATATATATATATATATATATATATATATATATATATATATATATATATATATATATATATATATATATATATATATATATAGGTGTGTGTGTGTGTGTGTGTGTGTGTGTGTTGTTGTCTTAGGGATGTAGTAGGAAGCAGAGTATGTGTTACAATGAAAGTCCTAGTTCCCACTCACTCCAGCTAACTTACGTGGTGGCAGAGGAGAAGATATTGAACTCTCAGACTCACCTTACCCCAACTTCCAGAGGCACTCTGCGGTTCCTCAGAAGCACCTTGACTATAATTTAAAGAAGCACTCAAGAAGATATCAAGCCCATCAACTTACCCTTTAGTTACAGGAGTGGCTGAGTTCATCCTCACCCCCCGCCCTGCTTAATACTGGATCGCACACAACTCTACCCCACACATTAAATAAAGTCACACACTTTCCGCACTTTTTATGCAGTCAGATTATTGTAAAAATAAATTTCAGAAACACCCTTTATACACCACGGTAGTGTGCCAGCCTAAAGCTGAGGCCGCTGGATGGGTGAACCAGTGAGCGTCGCAGCCTCGTCCAGGAGTGTGTGAACTGCCACCTGCAGCCCCACTACAATCCCACCTCTCCTACCCGCTCCTCTACTCTAATCCCAGTAACACAATCTCAAAATGTCGTTTGCACACCATTTCAGAACCTCTTGGATTAACAGTAATGTTATCACCGTCATCTTTCTGAAGAGATGGTACGCACTTCAACCTTTGGGCAATGTTGTATATATACTTTATAATATACTTGGTGTCTTGCCAGGAGTGCTTGAATGTGTACAAGCAGTGATGTGATTGTGCAGTAGCGGTAACATGATTGCACGAGGATATTAACGTGATGTATCAATGAGAGCACAGGTTCTAATCCTCTTAATGGCTCATACTGATTATCTCAGAATCACGATTGTTAAGGGACAGTGATATGATTGTGCATCAGCCTGGGTATAATTGTGAAGCAGCAGTTACATGATATAATAGTGCAGGAGCAGTAGTATTTGCAACCTCTCCTCTTACAACTTACGTCTGAATTTGACCGTTTGCTCCTATGGCCGAAAATGGACGTAATTTAAAAATGAAAAATATTGAAAATAAATTTTATATATGTTTTTTCCAGAACAATGAGTAAATGGTCCTCTGGTAGGTTAGGAGGGCAAGAAATTCTCCTAAAGTTTCAAAACGTCATGAAAAACGTTAATTGAAAGTTTCCTCTCCTAATCTTACCGTGTAAGCCAGAGGACTCAGACAGAAAACGGGACAGAACTTCAGTTTCGTGACCCGATTTCATTTCAAAATACGTTCATTTTTTACCATAGCGCGCATACGGGCGAAAAGCGACGTTATTTTTAAGAGGACGGGTTGGTGATATGACTGTGCATCAGAAGTGACCTCATGACACATGAGCCATGACATGACTGTGCATGAGCAGCAACATGAGCGGACCAAATTCACAATTACACATGGCAATTAGCTTAATTGTGAGGAAACGGTGACGTGTTTGTGAAGGAGCAGTGACGTGTTTGTACAGGGGGCATTGACGTGTTTGTACAGGGGCATTGACGTGTTTGTGCAGGAGCAGTGACGTGTTTGTACAGGAGCAGTGACGTGTTTGTACAGGAGCAGTGACGTGTTTGTACAGGAGCAGTGACGTGTTTGTGCAGGAGCCGTGACGTGTTTGTACAGGAGCAGTGACGTGTTTGTACAGGAGCAGTGACGTGTTTGTACAGGAGCAGTGATGTGTTTGTACAGGAGCAGTGACGTGTTTGTACATGAGCAGTGACGTGTTTTTACAGGAGCAGTGACGTGTTTGAACAGGAGCGTGACGTACAGGAGCGTGACGTGTTTGTACAGGAGCAGTGACGTGTTTGTGCAGGAGCAGTGACGTGTTTGTGCAGGAGCAGTGACGTGTTTGTGCAGGAGCCGTGACGTGTTTGTACAGGAGCAGTGACGTGTTTTTACAGGAGCAGTGACGTGTTTGTACAGGAGCCGTGACGTGTTTGTACAGGAGCAGTGACGTGTTTTTACAGGAGCAGTGACGTGTTTGTACAGGAGCCGTGACGTGTTTTTACAGGAGCAGTGACGTGTTTGAACAGGAGCCGTGACGTGTTTGTACAGGAGCCGTGACGTGTTTGTACAGGAGCCGTGACGTGTTTGTACAGGAGCCGTGACGTGTTTTTACAGGAGCAGTGACGTGTTTGAACAGGAGCCGTGACGTGTTTGTACAGGAGCCGTGACGTGTTTTTACAGGAGCAGTGACGTGTTTGAACAGGAGCCGTGACGTGTTTGTACAGGAGCAGTGACGTGTTTGTACAGGAGCCGTGACGTGTTTTTACAGGAGCCGTGACGTGTTTGAACAGGAGCCGTGACGTGTTTGTACAGGAGCAGTGACGTGTTTGTACAGGAGCCGTGACGTGTTTGTACAGGAGCAGTGACGTGTTTTTACAGGAGCAGTGACGTGTTTGTACAGGAGCAGTGACGTGTTTGTACAGGAGCAGTGACGTGTTTGTACAGGAGCAGTGACGTGTTTGTGCAGGAACAGTGACGTGTTTGTACAGGAGCAGTGACGTGTTTGTACAGGAGCAGTGACGTGTTTGTACAGGAGCAGTGACGTGTTTGTATAGGAGCAGTGACGTGTTTGTACAGGAACAGTGACGTGTTTGTACAGGAGCAGTGACTTATTTGTGCAAGAGCAGTGACTTATTTGTACAGGAGCAGTGACGTGTTTGTACAGGAGCAGTGACGTGTTTGTGCAAGAGCAGTGACTTATTTGTACAGGAGCAGTGACGTGTTTGTACAGGAGCAGTGACGTGTTTGTACAGGAGCAGTGACTTATTTGTACAGGAGCAGTGACTTATTTGTACAGGAGCAGTGACGTGTTTGTACAGGAGCAGTGACTTATTTGTGCAAGAGCAGTGACTTATTTGTACAGGAGCAGTGACGTGTTTGTACAGGAGCAGTGACGTGTTTGTACAGGAGCAGTGACGTGTTTGTACAGCAGCAGTGACGTGTTTGTACAGGAGCAGTGACGTGTTTTTACAGGGGCAGTGACGAGTTTGTGCAGGAGCAGTGACGTATTTGTACAGGAGCAGTGACGTGTTTGTACAGGAGCAGTTGAAAAATGAACAGTGTAGTTTATTTTTTTCAATTCCAAAGGGGCCTGCAAACTTGGCCTAAACAATTAGCCTCACCTGCTTAAGGAACAAACATTAGCAAAGATAATTAGTCCCAGCAAAGTTAATGAACACATTAGCTAATTATCACGCGTTGTGCCTTGTTCTAGTTGGTATAACTTCTCGGACATGCTGTTGTTAGTTACAAATTATCTGATTTTTATTTCATTTTTGCATATCTTAAAAATATATATTTTTTTTTATCACCTCATATTTAGCACGTGAATTAAAACAAATCATAAAATCATTTATTGTGTTATATAATATCCAACACAGTTTTGTAAACTATTTACAACACAGTTTTGTAAACTAATTTTATTTATATTTTATACCATATTGTTTAAATATGATTAATGTCGTCAAGTATTATAATCCTAATCATGATAAATATATGAATGTTTTTCATTACGGCGTTTAACTTGCTTTGGTCTCCCAGCTGTTGGGTCGCCTGGTGGAGGCTTTGGGAGCGTGTCACTGTATATATACGGAGAGACACCATGCAAGCAGTAAAATAGGTACCTGGGTGTTAGTCAGCTGTCACGGGCTGCTTCCTGGGGGTGGAGGTCTGGTCGAGGACCGGGCCGCGGGGACACTAAAGCCCCGAAATCATCTCAAGATAACCTCAAGATAAGGTCGCCCCTACTGGTGGGTACTCAGTCTGTGTTCATGCGAAAATGAAATTTTTTGCCATATGGGTAAATTTTTTTTTTTTAACTTCTAATTAATATTTGAATATAGAATGTTTTATATGCATTGTTTTCGATGGGAATTATATATCTACAGTACACTGAGCAGCTCGTCATCCTAACGTTGTATAACGTCAAGAAAACTGTCAATTTAAAGTGTCCTCTCCTAACCTACCAGAGGACCCTGAACAGAAAACGGGACAGTACGTCACTTTCGCGAGCCGCTTCCATATTTTAGTTTGACAATTTTTAGCCTTATGTAATGCATACGAGCGAAAAGTGACGTTCTTCGTAAGAGGACATGCAGGTGGGGGGAGTTCCAGGCTGTCCCCAGCTTTCTCTTCCTCTTCCCGACTCCTGGCTTTCTCTGTCTCCTCTCTCATCCCTCTTTTCCTACACCTCCTTTCATTTCTTTTATCCTCCCCTCACATTCAGTCTCCTCCCTCCTCTCCCACTCTTCGCCCCTCTCCACCCTTCTCCCTCTCACACTGCTCGCCGCCCTCTCTCCCTATCTCCCCTATCGTTTCGCGTCTCTTTCTTCCCCTTCCCCAAATGTCCCCACTCTCGCCTTCCCCTCTTCACATATCCTCAACCCCTACTCACTCCTCTCGATTTCTCTATGTCTCTTTCTCTGTATCTGCCTCGATGTGTTGCTGCTGCCCGTTTCTGTTTTTCTCCTTGTCTCCCTCTTACTTCATGTGGTCGACCGGGTCTCTGTACAGGCCTATCTTTGTCTCCCTATGTCTCTGTCCCTTATGAAAACAATATAATAGTTTACTATGGCATTACAACATGTGGGTAGTCCGTCAGTAGGAAAAAGGCCAGCGTTGTGAAATATTAAAATAAAGGAATAGTTCCCAGTATGCTTTTGGAGACGGGCTTTAGTAAGCATTTGAAACTGTGGAAGGATTGTTTTTCTTATGCTACTATACCAGAAAATTAATATTACTTTTCCCGAGATCAGTGAATGTGGGTGAATATTACCATAAGTAAAAAGTTTATATATTTTTTACAAAATATTTAGCTAGCTAGAGAGCTGTGTCAAAAGTAGTCCAGGGGGCCAGAAGGTGGCCCTGTCATCATCCAGGGGGCCAGAAGGTGGCCCTGTCATCATCCAGGGGGCCAGAAGGTGGCCCTGTCATCATCCAGGGGGCCAGAAGGTGGCCCTGTCATCATCCAGGGGGCCAGAAGGTGGCCCTGTCATCATCCAGGGGGCCAGAAGGTGGCCCTGTCATCATCCAGGGGCCAGAAGGTGGCCCTGTCATCATCCAGGGGGCCAGAAGGTGGCCCTGTCATCATCCAGGGGGCCAGAAGGTGGCCCTGTCATCATCCAGGGGGCCAGAAGGTGGCCCTGTCATCATCCAGGGGGCCAGAAGGTGGCCCTGTCATCATCCAGGGGGCCAGAAGGTGGCCCTGTCATCATCCAGGGGGCCAGAAGGTGGCCCTGACATCATCCAGGGGGCCAGAAGGTGGCCCTGTCATCATCCAGGGGGGCCAGAAGGTGGCCCTGTCATCATCCAGGGGGCCAGAAGGTGGCCCGGTCATCTTCCAGGGGGCCAGAAGGTGGCCCTGTCATCATCCAGGGGGCCAGAAGGTGGCCCTGTCATCATCCAGGGGGCCAGAAGGTGGCCCTGTCATCATCCAGGGGGCCAGAAGGTGGCCCTGTCATCATCCAGGGGGTCAGAAGATGGCCCTGTCATCATCCAGGGGGCCAGAAGGTGGCCCTGTCATCATCCTGGGGGCCAGAAGGTGGCCCTGTCATCATCCAGGGGGCCAGAAGGTGGCCCTGTCATCATCCAGGGGGCCAGAAGGTGGCCCTGTCATCATCCAGGGGGCCAGAAGGTGGCCCTGTCATCATCCAGGGGACCAGAAGGTGGCCCTGTCATCATCCAGGGGGCCAGAATGTGGCCCTGTCATCATCCAGGGGGCCAGAATGTGGCCCTGTCATCATCCAGGGGGCCAGAATGTGGCCCTGTCATCATCCAGGGGGGCCAGATGGTGGCCCTGTCATCATCCAGGGGGCCAGATGGTGGCCCTGTCATCATCCAGGGGCCAGAAGGTGGCCCAGTCATCATCCAGGGGGCCAGAAGGTGGCCCAGTCATCATCCAAGGGGCCAGAAGGTGGCCCTGTCATCATCCAGGGGGCCAGAAGGTGGCCCTGTCATCATCCAGGGGGCCAGAAGGTGGCCCTGTCATCATCCAGGGGACCAGAATGTGGCCCTGTCATCATCCAGGGGGCCAGAATGTGGCCCTGTCATCATCCAGGGGGCCAGAAGGTGGCCCTGTCATCATCCAGGGGACCAGAAGGTGGCCCTGTCATCATCCAGGGGACCAGAAGGTGGCCCTGACCTTCCCTGGGGGCCAGAAGGTGGCTCTGTCATCATCCAGGGGGCCAGAAGGTGGCCCTGTCATCATTCAGGGGGCCAGAAGGTGGCCCTGACCTTCCCAGGGGGTCAGAAGGTGGCCCTGACCTTCCCAGGGGGCCAGAAGGTGGCCTTAACATCGACCAGGGGTCCAAAAGTTGGCTCTGAAACGCTGGACCCTTTTGAATTTTGGCGATCCCTCGACCATGGGCTTGTTGGGGTTAGGGGGTTCTGCCATTCGACCAGCCAATGGTCGAATGGTTCGGTACCCCAGACAATCCCACTTGCAAAGTTGAGTGAGATCTGTCACATGTATCTGGCCACTGAACGTGGACTGACAAACATTCTCTCTTAAAGATATTGATTGATGAAGCATTTTGAGAAGAGAAAATCGAAAATTTGAAGAGCCTGGAACATTTCATAGAATATTTTAAGGTAAATGGATGCGGGGGGGGGGGGTTCTCTCAAGATTCCGGAAGGTTATACATAACCAAGTCTATTGGACTAATTTGTACTTTGTACACATTATAGAAAGTACAAATCAGTATTCTACTTTGCATTTGGAAACGTGTTGTAAATACGAGTCACCACACAACCCTTCCTGAGATATTGCTGGTCTAATCTGATCTTCGTGAGTCTCTTGAGATGATTTCGGGGCTTAGCGTCACCGCGGCCCGGTCCTCGACCAGGCCTCCTTTTTGTTACACATCCCCAGGAAGCAGCCCGTAGCAGCTGTCTAACTCCCAGATACCTATTTACTGCTAGGTAACAGGGGCATCAGGGTGAAAGAAACATTTTGCCCATTTGTCTTAGCCTCCACCGGGGATCGAACCCGGAACCTTAGGACTACGAATCCGAAGCGCTGTCCACCCAGCTGTCAGGCGAATATGATGGACATATTCAAAAGGGCATTCGTAAATAGTTCTTCACAATGTAATACAATGTTCACTATTATCAGACATTTCAGTTTTTCATATAGTTAGATAAGGAGAAAGTTCGATTAGGCGGTTTGTTATGTGTTGTGTGAACATAGTGAATATTATGTGTGAAGAGTACGGTGATAAGTATTTTACACAGGTGTGTTTCAAACGCAGGAAGTTAAAGACTTTTTGAGAATTGTTCGTTCATATCCCGGTGTAAATCACCCGATCCTTTTAAACAATGGTCACATACTCGCTAAAACAGCCTCTAGACACCCTCTTGACGAAGGACAGTTAATTTACACATCCTCAAGCTACGATCATTCAAGCTGCACCCTATTGCAAAGTCATTCATTTGATAAAACTTTGTAGCGATAAATTATATTTTCTTGATAAATAAAAAATAATGTATTCAACAATTTTCCATATAGTTAAGCCTAGGAATAGTTTAGTTGGTTTTTATGACAATTATTTGTATTTACATTTTGTGGGCGAAGTATTTGGAGAGGAACAAGTTATAATATAATTGTCAGCTTCAATCTTGTGTAAAACGGATCCAATTATCCATCATGGGAGACTTCATCCCTGACAACATATTCGAACAAATAACCACATGAGAGCATAGATGCGCGGAGTCCTAAAGTATTGCAAACAACCACAAGAATATTACGAAAATCAAAATGTTAGGGAACATTGATGAGGGGCGATGATGAACCATCAAGAGTTGTCTTGATGCTCACTATAAACGAATCAGACTTAAGAGAAGTCAATTTATAAGTCTCTATTTGAGTGGTTGATGACTGTTTACTGGCATTTGAGCATCTGGTGGAAGTAATAATGAGTTTCGCAGGAAGAAAGGGACCCAGAATTTACAGGAGGCAGTAAACACGTTTGTCCCTTTCCAATTGAAGAAAAATGATGAGTGAATTTGGAGCCCATAGTTTACCTAAGTATGTAGAAAATGAAAACAATTGTGTTCACAAGAATTTCTGCAGATACACTACAGAAATACCAAAACGCCTGTAAATCAATAAGCTAACAAACAGATGACAGGGGATTGAAATTCTCAGACAGAATGAAAGATTCTTGGAGTGCTTCACAACAGAGTACGAAGATATCCCTAATATATGGGAGACAGTGTTTAACCAAGACGCACTAAAATACTTTGAGAGTACCGCCCACGAGGTAAGAAAGACTCTGCCGAAATAGTACTTGACAAAAGTTGTTGGATCAAAAGGAATCTGACAGTGAGTGAGCAGCTGTCATTTGCTTGATTTTCTAATAAGTATTATCAGTCAGTAGAAATAAAGACAGATGCTCCTCCCAGTGTCATGTTGCTCGTTAGGAAGTCGCTGTGATCTTCTCAGTCAGAGATAACTATATCCTCAGAACTCCCTTCCTTTCTGTTCAGAAACTCACTCCTTCTTCTCCTCTTCCTCTTCTTTCTCCTCTCTCGTTCCTTGCTCTTTATGAGTAACGTAAGGGTGTTGAATTTGTTATGACCACCACAAATTGAGTTTTTGGGAGTGCAGTTAGGAGTGGGTTATTTCCTGTGACTTTTTTCCAAGTTCACGGGCTTCTTTTGGCATCCTATCTATGAACAGTATATTAAATATCACTTCTGTGCATTCAGACTTAAAAGGTTTCCTAACCTACATTCCATTAGCATGGAAAGCTGAAGCTGCTTTGTGAAAAAGGAATATTATGATGGGGTTATTTCACGGTTAAGATGGTTGACGGGGAGCAGAGGGGAGTAAGGCCAAGAAGATGGATGTACAAGGAGAGGGGAGAAGAGTAAGATGCATGAGTGTGTATGTGTAGTGGTCTGGTGAGTGGGTGGTAGGAGGTTAGGGGGTGATATGTAGGTTAGGGTGTGAGGTTAAGGGGTTTAGCTATGAACGTGGAAGCCTACATATTGAGGCTAGTTTGCAGTGAAGGATAGAATGCTGGCAGTTAATTAGGGAAGGCTGGCAGTGAAGGATGGAAGGCTGGCAGTGAAGGATGGAAGGCTGGCAGTGAAGGATGGAAGGCTGGCAGTGAAGGATGGAAGGCTGGCAGTGAAGGATGGAAGGCTGGCAGTGAAGGAGGAAAGGCTGGCAGTGAAGGAGGAAAGGCTGGCAGTGAAGGATGGAAGGCTGGCAGTGAAGGATGGAAGGCTGGCAGTGAAGGATGGAAGGCTGGCAGTGAAGGATGGAAGGCTGGCAGTGAAGGAAGGAAGACTGGCAGTGAAGAATGGAAGGCTAGCAGTGAAGGATGGAAGGCTGGCAGTGAAGGATGGAAGGCTGGCAGTGAAGGATGGAAGGCTGGCAGTGAAGGAAGGAAGGCTGGCAGTGAAGGATGGAAGGCTGGCAGTGAAGGATGGAAGGCTGGCAGTGAAGGAGGAAAGGCTGGCAGTGAAGGATGGAAGGCTGGCAGTGAAGGATGGAAGGCTGGCAGTGAAGGATGGAAGGCTGGCAGTGAAGGATGGAAGGCTGGCAGTGAAGGAAGGAAGACTGGCAGTGAAGAATGGAAGGCTAGCAGTGAAGGATGGAAGGCTGGCAGTGAAGGAGGAAAGGCTGGCAGTGAAGGATGGAAGGCTGGCAGTGAAGGATGGAAGGCTGGCAGTGAAGGATGGAAGGCTGGCAGTGAAGGAGGGAAGGCTGGCAGTGAAGGATGGAAGGCTGGCAGTGAAGGATGGAAGGCTGGCAGTGAAGGATGGAAGGCTGGCAGTGAAGGAAGGAAGACTGGCAGTGAAGAATTGAAGGATGGAAGGCTGGCAATGAAGGAAGGAAGGCAGGCAGTGAAGGATGGAAGGCTGGCAGTGAAGGATGGAAGGCTGGCAGTGAAGGAGGAAAGGCTGGCAGTGAAGGAAGGAAGACTGGCAGTGAAGAATGGAAGGCTAGCAGTGAAGGATGGAAGGCTGGCAGTGAAGGATGGAAGGCTAGCAGTGAAGGATGGAAGGCTGGCAGTGAAGGAAGGAAGACTGGCAGTGAAGAATGGAAGGCTAGCAGTGAAGGATGGAAGGCTGGCAGTGAAGAATGGAAGGCTAGCAGTGAAGGATGGAAGGGTAGCAGTGAAGGATGGAAGGATTATAGTGAGGAATGGAAGGCTGGCAATGAAGGATGGAAGGCTGGCAGTGATGAATGGAAGGCTGGCAGTGATGAATGGAAGGCTGGCATTGAAGGATGGAATGCTGGCAGCAAAGGATGGAAGGCTGGCAGTGAAGGAGAGAAGTATGTATGGCTGGTAGTGAAGGATGGAAGGATGTAAGGCTGACAGTGAAGGCTGGAAGGCTGGTAATGAAGGATGGAAGGCTGGCAGTGAAGGATGGAAGGCTGGCAGTGAAGGAGAGAAGTATGTATGGCTGGTAGTGAAGGATGTAAGGCTGACAGTGAAGGATGGAAGGCTGGCAGTGAAGGATGGAAGGTTGGAAGTGAAGGATGGAAAGCTGCCAAAGAAGGCTGGAAGGTTTACATTAAAAGTTAGATTGCTGGCAGTGAATGATGCGAGGAAAATTATTCCTTTACTTCCAGTTTCTTCGAAAGTGGAGAATGGCAGCGCCGCATTTGTTGTTGATGGAGTAATGGATTTGATTATGAATGGCCAGGCGCTTTGTAACGACGGTCCTTATTGGTCAAAACACCACACACATGTTGCTATAATTCACACTGCCATCTAAAGGAAAATAGTTTAGAACAATTAATATAAATTAATATGTGTAGTTTAGTGAAAAAATGGAGATGGCTCTACTTCTGTGCTTGAGAGTTTATTGACCTTTAATGTAAATGATATAACGTGTGATAATTTTACGTATTGTCTTTTAATGTCACTCACAAAACGCTACCTCGATTGTCGCTGGCGCTTGTGAACAACACAGTTAGTTTAGTTCAATTATTATGCACCCCATACCCATCCTGTTGGCGGCAGTGAACGCCATACCAATCCTGTGGGCAATAGTGGTGTGGGTTACAGAGGCAGATAATGGGGCTCCAGACTGAACCCCAAGATTCATTTAGCAAAGCATGTTACAGTCTTTATGAGCTAGTTACAAAATTCACTGCATTTGTAACCGAGCCGAGCAGTAGTAACATCTAGGAGTCTGCTGATTTTATTGGGTGATTAATAGATGTGTGGTTCTTCTTCCATGATAACATGATGATAGATGGAATTACTAGTGTTGATTTCACTTTGCTTCAGATCTACAAGGCTTTGTTGAAATTCTTGGTGAATTTTTGCCCTCATACTGCTTATAGGCACTCCAAGGTTTCAGTTCCTCAGATCCTCCTTTAAAGGCAGATTCTTTGGCTCAACAACACACAAAACGAACACATTAACAGTTTTTTCAAGTTAAAAATGGTTTTCAAACATTCCATATGTTATTATTGTTGATATACTTTATACGAATAATGGTGTATCAAGAACTAAGAACGTTGACTGAAGAAGTGTACAGGCCAAAGAACACTTCAGATGTCGGTGGAGAAAGACTTCATGAAGTGAAGCAGAAGAGTTAAACACGTAGCATGATAACCATATAAATAGCTGTGTGGAGACTTGAACCCCTTTTTTCAGTGTAGCCGGAGGAAGATTTTAAAAAGGGCCCAGAACATACAGAGGACATAGGATTCAAATGAAAAGCGGTACAAGCTATCTAGTTGTTAGAGTACAAATATTCGACAAAAGAGTCCAACTGATATAACGAACTTATTTCATGACTAAAATAAATACATTCAATGTCCCAGAAAGAGTTCAAGATGAAAGCTAATAGATCACTTGAAGGGGAACTCAGTGATTCATCACGGCCTGATCCTCGAGTAATGTGGCGGAAGTGCTTAGTGTTTCTGCTTCTCCGGTGCTGGAGTGAACAACATTACAGTTGCTTCACATGAGATGTGTGAAACTGAAACAAATGGCACTCTTCTCATACATTTAGAAGCAAACTGTGTGGAAAGGACGAATTAAGTCTTAGAAATTGTTGTTAGAGATTTTGGGAAAGATTATTTGACATTTGAAATTAGGATTAACCTTTAGTTTTCGAGCTTTTGGTCTGAGACACGAGAGAGACATAGGCTGATCGAGTGCGGCAGAATTCAAGTGAGAATAGCGAGCGAGGGTCACATTCAGATCCCATGACGGTTTTTGGCACTGCCAGACGGAAACACAGCTGCATACTTTGAAAACTAGAATTTTCAGAAATTCTAAGATTACTGTGCACCATTATTCACTGATTTTGGAAAGAAACAAAAATTTATGCTATTCATACTTTGGCTATAGTAGAATAAATCAGACGACTCTTCCACAGTTTCAAAGAATTTCTCAAAGCAAATGGGTAACTAATATATTTAATAAATATTTCATGTGCTTAGGCTTCTCTCATCATCAGACCACCCACACGTCAATGTTAATTTATTATATTGTTTTTATAAGAGAGAGAAAAAGAGAGACAGGAAGACAAATAGGAAATGTAGACAGAAACGACACTTAGAGACAGACAGGCAGATGCAGAGAATGACAGAAAGACTGACAGGCAGATATAAAGACCGCGATTGGGAGAGAAAGATGTGGGAAGATGGGGGATATTTGAAGAGAGGGAAGGGAGGAGAGAAGGGGGGCCGATTGAGGAAGGGAGAAGAGAGATTCGCACACAGTTAGGTAATCCCCCTAATAAAGCTATAAGTCTTAATAATCCATTAAAATCGCTAAGTTTTATGAAGTGATTTATTTCGAATACAAGAAAGATTTTTTCAACTATTAACCATATTTCAGTGTGTGTGTGTATGTCCATTTAAAAGGCAATAGGTATAATTCATTGCATCAGGCTACGAGTGAATCAGGGCTTTTGGACTCTCCCAAAAGGATGCATGATCTATATATAGTGATTAATGCAAAAGCGTGTGAAAATGACCAGATACAATCTCCAGTAATATTTTAATCAGTAAATTCATTTGGAAATCCATCCATGAAAGCTTGCTTATCAATGTACGCAGCTTATGTAACAAATTCTCGGAACTTGAAGCAATCGTTCCAGATAATTATATTATTCAATAAGCAAAACAAAATCCTTGTTTACTAAAGAAATAAAGACCACTTAGCCTAATATACAATTCAAAGCTGTACCCGTGTTTGCTAGCGAAAGAAATTTAACTGTAGTTAAGTTATAGGTTCATTAAATCGTTTAAAAAATCTAAAATATAATGTTCATAGGATTTTGCGAATATCAACTCGATATATTTAGAAATTAAGAAAATAATCCACATAATGTACAGTGAATAGACTACCTGCTCACTATTTTTCAGAGCTAAACAAAAATATATACTAAGATGGTTACTAAACTGACTAAGGGGCTTCAGCCAGCTTGAAATTTCGGTCGCTCTGTTTGTGTTGCAGCCGTTAGCGTTATTGGCAATTAAATGTTTTGCAGCATACGCCATTATCGATGTCATTCATGTAAATTAATAGCAAAAGTTGTTTCAAAACTGAGGCCCTGTGGCACTTCACTTGTAATGACTGTTGAATCTGATCATTTTTATATAGAGATATTATATTTATATATTTTTATATTTATATATATTTTATATTATTTATATATTTTATTATTTTTATATACATTTTATATATTTTATATATTATTTTTATATATTTTTATATAGAACTACATGTTGTTTGCATCCACAAATTAAATAAAATTTTGCCCCGAAGGAAGATTGTTTTTTTTTTTTTTGGCAGCGCCACTCATCCTGTGAGTGAACATACCGCCAAAGTAGCATGTAGAAGACCCCACAATAGGAAGAAATCGTTCGCTTGTACCCAAAAACAGCTGGGACCTGCTTAACTGTCTCAAGTGAACAGCTTATCAAACAAGATTAACATTTGAAACTCTTAAAATTTACGGTATCTAGTGGGTGCGAAATGGGGAAATATTTTAAGAACAGTATCTATATTTGACAAATAGTATTTATCTAACTCGAACAATGTGGAGTTATTATTCTACACATATTTCTAATGTCTCTTATATGTTCAAATTCTCTCAGGTAGTGGTCATGGCGGTGGTTACCTTGAGGTTACCTTGAGGTGCTTCCGGGGCTTAGCGTCCCCGCGGCCCGGTCATCGAGCAGGCCTCCTGGTTGCCGGACTGATCAACCAGGCTGTTGGACGCGGCTGCTCGCAGCCTGACGTATGAGTCACAGCCTGGTTGATCAGGGTGTTCATCACTTTCATCACAGATTCTGCAACTCCGCTGCAAGGTTTGTTTCCTTCACACATCTCAATTGATATTTGTATCCAAGACGAATTTTTGTTATTATTGATTCTCTCCACCGCCTCTTCGTCCATCATGATTGGATTATTGATTCTCTCCACCGCCTCTTCGTCCATCATGATTGGATTATTGATTCTCTCCACCGCCTCTTCGTCCATCATGATTGGATTATTGATTCTCTCCACCGCCTCTTCGTCCATCATGATTGGGATTACCATCAGCAACCATATTATACCAGGGTACAGATTCACTGATTTGTTCCTCTATCCTCCTTTAATCAGTTACCTTGCCACGGAGATGTTTCCTGATAATGCCTCTTGTTACGGATCCGAGCCCAGCGTCCGAGCACGGAGCAGTGACGCCCGCGCCATCTGTGGGTCAGCTCCCAAAACCCCCTCCAAATGGACGACGCCATCTAGTGAGGACGAGATATACTGGCCACAAGGGCTAGTTTCCCGTCCCGATCAGCTCATAACACAGCCGCTACTGACCTCTGGTGAGGTGGAGCTTAGACAGCAACGCCATCTATGGAGTGGATAGGTGGGCGTTTGTGTCTAAGCCTGTAAGTGAGGTGCCCTAGAATGTCCCTATTACTGATGACGTGTTTGATTACAGAGTCAACCTGGGACTGCTGTAATGGAAGTTGGAGGAGTCTACCCAAGGCAGCCATAGAACCTCCACGCATTTGCCGCTGATACTGTGAGTCACCCCCCAGATGAACACTGTTGTGTTAGCCTGCCTGTGAGGTGGCAGATCCAGGGATTGTCGTACCCGGGGCTGACTAGTGGAGAAGACTAACCACTGGGGTGTTGTGGTGAGGAGAGTGACCTGTGAAGTCACACGAGGCTCCTGCCTAGGGCTCGCAACCCTAGTATCGGTCGTGGAGTGGCCTAACCAGCGGAACTGATTGGAACCTGCCAGCTACAGGCTGGATTTGTGGTTGATGGCCTCCACGACGGTGCCCCCAGTGGAGCTGTGATTTGGCTGGCCTGTGG